AACAGCTATTACTTTTTGATAGTTTTAATTTATTTTCATATATTTTCTAATTAATTTCTACCTACTAATTTTTGACAGTTTTAATTTAACCATTAGGACTCTGATATTTTCTTTTGTAAAAGATGCTAAAAAAAACTTTAAATTCTTTAAAAAAATCACTTTTATCTGAAATTTGTTAGATATAAATACATTTTATTTTAATTAACCACAAAAGTTAATATAAAATTTAAAAACAACTTTAATACTAAGCTACCATTGAATGTTAATCACACAAGATATAATATGTCCAACAAATAAAATATCATTAGATTAATGTAATATAATATAATTTGTTAAACAATTAAAATACACTAAGATAATAAGATTATATTAAAAAAATAATAATATATTTTAAAAAAACTAAATATTATTTTATGTTATTTTTTACTATTAAAAAAGAAATTATTATTTTTTAAGGTTACGCTGTAATATTCTAACAAAATATTACTTGTATGTTTATGTATGTGTATTATTTTAATTTATTAAAATATTAAAATATATTTTTTTAAATCTTTTGGTATACTCTAATAGAATATTATATTTATAATTATTCTAACATAAATTATCATGAACAACATTTTGGTTGGAATATTTGTCCGTTTACTTTTTTTATTTTCTAAAGAAACTGATCAAAATTATGAAAAAAACATTTTTTTGGCTTTTTGTTAATTTTATTATTCTAATTGTTTTTTATTTTATTTTTTTATCTATAAATGAGTGGCTTAGATTATGGTGTATGTCTCACAAAAAAACCAATGGTTTCTAAAGAACTTTTATCTATATATTTAAACTAATTTAACAAAAAATTGTATAAATTATAGGTATGGAAAGATATTTTCATGCAATATATTTGGAAGAAGGGCAGTGGTATCGGCTGATCCCATTTTTAACAAATATGTGATGCAAAACGAAGGAAGGTTTTTCAAATCCAGTTACCCAAAGTCGTTTCGAGACCTTGTTGGGAAAAATGGTGTCATCACTGCTCAAGGCGACCAACACCGGAAGCTTCATACAATTGCTTCAAATATGATGCGTACTGACACCCTTAAATCTCGTTTCTTGATAGATATCCAGCTTGTTATGCATCAAACATTTGCCACTTTGCATCATAATCAGACCATTTTGCTTCAGGATGTTTGTAGAAAGGTTAGTCACATTATATATAATCTTAATTGTCATCTGGCTTCTGAACAGTACTCCTTTTGATTTTAACTTATTGTATATGGAATTGGAAATCAGACGTTGACGTCTGTAAAAAATGATATTTCGAAATTTTGGTACATAAAAAAAAACGCATCAATAATGAAGGCTTATGAAAATGGAATATTTAACACAACATAAATGATTTTGCACAAACTACGTACCAAGTATGACTCGTGGGGGAGTTCAATAGGTTGTTCTATGGTGATAAATATGCCATGCATGTGCCGATAGAGGGGATACTGAAAGTCAACGAGTATCTTGCTTGAAAGTCAAACTCATGTGGGAATTGATTATGTGTAGAGAAAGTACACAATTACCACCTATACATCAGTTTGACATGTAGTCTTAGTCCTTCAAGTATGCCAAGTCCAACATCTATAGTCTCTTAAACCATGAGTCATATTACGATTGTAATTGATTCGATTTGACACAATTTTAGTAAAATCTCAAACTAAACTAAACCAAAGAAATCAACTTTGAATAAGCAATGTTTTATTTTATAGTTAGATTAGTGATTTGATAATAAGATAAAGCTAAAATAAACAATTACTTATTACCATGGCGTGTTTCGGTGTTTGCATATTTGTATATTGGTATTTATATTATGACAACAAGGGTATTGAATATCATCTTATAAATAAAGAAGATTTTCGCTTTAGTAGTTAATTAGATCTACACCATGATGTAAAAGTGTTTGAAACCTTTTCTTTTAATTTATTAAAAAACCCCAAGCTATAATGATTTGTAATAAACATTTTCAAACACGACACATACGTACTTTTTACTAAAACAAGATACCAAGATACTTCTATATTATTTGACTGGTTGTGTGATGTTGGTTTTAGTTGGCTATAAACTTGATGGTGAATCAGCTCCTAGGGGTATCAAGTGAAGCAGAAGTCGGTGAAATGGCGCAACTATTCTCAACCTTTGTAGATGGTTGTTTGTCACTTCCCGTCAGTTTGCCTGGTTTTGCTTATCACACTGCTATGAATGTAAGTCATTTAGTTAAACGTGTACTTTGTATGTACAACTTACAATTTAGGTCTCGTGGCCAATCTAATATGGTTAATCTAACTTAGGTTTGGATATTAGATATATATACATAGGGTACGAATATCTTTGACATCCGTACTCAAGATTATATGTGGAGTCTTTTGAAAACTAAGTCCCAAAAATAGAGTTCGTAACCATACCTATGGGTAGGCATGTTGGATATTCATGTTAAATTTAATATGCTCTTTTACATATGCTTGTATTTGTGCACTTCTAATTAAACTTATACATGTTTTTTTACTATGCTCTTTTAATCATTATTTTTAAATATGTAAACCCTCTTGTGTTAACGTAAGAGGTGATTTAATATTTGCTAATTCATTTTAAACATAATTATTATAATTTTACTAGGTAATATGGTTGAATTATGTTACAAAAATGTGGGTTCTTTTGTACCCATGTGTCAATAACCTATACATTTTGTTGTACTCAACGAGTTTGTTTTAAAATTGCTCTTGAAGTTATATTACAAAAATATCAACCGTCAAACAAGTATGACTAAAGTTATTGAAATGATTACTTTTGCAGGCAAGGAAAAATATAATTAGAAAGATTGAGAAAATAATACATGAGACGAGGCATGGTGAGTGTGATGGTGATGGTGGTTTGGTTGGAAGACTAGTGGAGGAGGGGAGTCTTCGAGACGAAGCAATTTCTGACTTTATCATTAACCTCTTATTTGCGGGAAATGAGACAACCGCTAAAACCATGCTTTTTGCTATATATTTCTTGACCACTTCTCCAGAAGCCGCTAATAAACTTTTGGTACGTGTTTTTTTTTTTTTTTTTTT